CAGTCCCATAAAATCACAATAATGGACACTAAACTCTGTGGATGGAAAATTACTGAATGTAAAAAAAGAGAGATGCAAATACTTTGTCAAAGCATTGTAAATAAAATAACAAAGGCTGTTCAATTACGCTAAAAAGAAATGAACTCTGAGGCTTTAATTGTTAAACTTCTCTTCTCTTCTAAAACGCTTCTCAAGCACAAAGTCGCTGCGACACATTCACAGGAAAACCCACACACGTTCTGTCCTCTGACTCAACTTTCCACATCTTAATGCAAATCCCTTTTTCAGAGCCGCGCTAAAGGCATGTCCGCCCCAACAAAGCGGGAGGGGGCAGGAAGGACGGGATGAGTTCGGAGAAGGAGAAAGGAATGCCCAAATACCCGATTTCCTCAAAAACGCCTTACAGTACAAGTTCACAGATGTTTCTGGGCCAGAATGGAAATGAGTGACCGGCCTCCTGCAAAAAGTAAGGAGCAGTATGAGGAGCAGCAGTCCTCATGTACAACTGTTACTCACCATGAAAAACACCCATATTAGAAGAAATGATAATATAACAAACAAAAAAGGTATGGAGATGTTTTTTTTAAATTCAATTCTTCCACTTTTATTTTCCCAAAAGAAAAAGAAAAGATTGACCCAGTTCATGCTGAGTTTGATACACATCCCAGCCAGAGATGGATATTCTCTATAGGGGTTGAATACTTGGTTTGAATTTGAGCCCATCATGACTGGCGTACTTCACATGATCACACGCCTCCAGATCGCTCAGTAACTGCAACATCAGGCCACTGGCACATCTAGAACACTGAGCCGTCGCACAATCTGGGCCTAGTCCAGACGTTTGTATGCACTTTGACCTTTCATCCACACCAAAAACTAATTTTAATATCACCAAAAAAAATTATTTATTAGAACTCTGTATTTGTGTTTGCATGAGTACATGTGAAAACAGAGATTTTGGGGTCTGATGCATTACAATCTGCAACAAGTAATGAGCCAATATATCCATATTCTTGCTTAGACATGAATCCCAATCAACATTGTCTTGTGTTTTGTTAACTTTATATTCTAATGTGTCATTTAAAAGTAGTTGCACCTATTTATCCTATATCTATACACCTATAGGTCAGGGATGAAGTTTTCCATATTCATCTCTGGTCTGTGCTCCTGCTTTATTCCGTTTTTTTTCTCTGATGTTTTCTGACAAACCTCTGGGGTTTCTGTCAGAACAGCTGGATTTACTCTGAGGTTACATTTCACACAGCTGGACTCTGTTTACTAATCAGGTCATTCCTGGAGACAGTTAGTCGCTCTGCTTTCATTAAGGAGTCTGGCTGCTAATGCAGGGGGTCGACATTTTGGATTTTTGAAAGTCACAAGCACCATTTTATGTTCATCTATCACAAATATAATTCCAGTGAAGCACTTTGAATTGCCTTGTTGCTGGAAATGTGCTGTATAATTAAAACAAACTTACCTTACCAATAAAACACATGGGAGCTTGTCGTTGGTTAAAACTCAACCTGAGTGAACAAAGCTGTTCTATATGTGCTTGGCATAACTGTAATAATAATTAAAGATGATTTTTTTTTTTTAGGTCATTTTAATTTAGCTCACCCAAGCGCCACCATGTAAAGCTCCTGCAGGCCATCGGCCATGCTTCCTCTTTGGTCATGGTCGGTTCTGCTTCCCGCTGCGACGGGCTGGAGGCGTGGAGCTGCTGCAGCGGTGCTGCTTGTTAGATGAACTCTCTGTAAACCCTGTGTGTGCACTTCTACCTCGCTGCGGCACACAGAGACGTGTCAACCGCTCCTACCTCATTTTCATCACTTCCCTTTGCGGGAAACTTTGATTCAATTTAATTAGCATTGCCTGTGCCACGGTAACCTGAGAAGGAAGGTACCATCCTCTGGTGGCCTTAGTGGAGTTTGATACTGTGGGGCTCGTATGTTAATATGCGAGTGCATGCATGTATTATAAATTGCCACAGCTGTGTCAGACAGCTGCTGGGGGGGCTGCGTTCAAGCAAGGGGTACCTCCCCCCTCTTCCTGAAGTCAGACAGAGCACAGCCACATGCACTCAGGGCTGCACATAACCAGAGTTCAGAGCTCACATTCAAAAATATGCAAATTCACCCAATCACCTTTGAGAACAGTTCCAGAGGCGGATGATAGCAAAACGCAAACAGTGCACATGCTTGGATGTATTCAATTTGTGTGTGTGTGTTTTCATCTGACTTTGTTGTTGACACAAACTTATGAGGTTCCAGAGATGATTTCATTTGGAGCCTCGGGACATGGCTCAGGCAGAAGAGTGGAATGAGTGGAATGTTAGAAAACTCCCCTTTAGTCCTGTGACATCAGACTGGCTGCTGCTGCTGCGGCTGCGGCGCTGCTGCTGCTGCTGCTGCTGCTGCGGCGCTGCTGCTGCTGCTGCTGCTGCTGGCTCTGAGGTGCCCGGGGACTTTTCCCACAGATCCGTTTGATCTGTGTGCTGCAGACTCAGCAGATTGCTCAGTTATTTTGTGTCCAATGAAAAAAAAAAAGTTCATAATGCTCACCATTTACAATATAAAGCAGGTATTCACAGAGGAGCTCATGTAAAAACCAGGAAAAAAAAAGTAAGTAAAAAGTAACATGACAGCTTGTTGAATAAAATCTAATATAAATAAATAAGTAGGTGTCACTGTATGGCAATGTTTAGTAACAGGAACCAGTTCGTGTGTCTGACCTGATGGCTGCAATGAAAATCATGTTTGAGTTTGATGACCACCGTTAAAATGCCACTGACACAATAAAAGCAACTACATCCTTTGAAAGGATGAAATATTGTGCTTTCATTATGTTTACAAAAATAATTTAATATTAAAGTATTTCTCACAGATTATAAATTCCTTGGCATTGCAAGTGTTGCAGTGTTTGCCTATAGTAACTGCGTCAAACGCCGGTGCCATTTTGTCACATAATGAAGGTAAGTCAAAATGTAAACAGCTAAGGCTGGGTACACAGAAGCGGAGGACGTTGTGAACAATTTATCTGCAGTTTGGGAAGAAGAAGCTGGATGGAGTGATGGAGAAGAGGAAGCTGGTTCTACTGAACGACTGGAACCAGATTTATTGAGCTGTGTAGTTCAGGAAGCAACGATGACTCCAACGTTTCTGGGGAGGATAATAGGAACTGTCCCCTCTAAATCACTGATAATAATAAACAGAAACATATATTCACCTTTAATTCTGGTTTAAGTCAAACAATCCAGTTACTTTAAGGGAACTGGTTCAAGTTCTGCTTGTGTTCTAGTCTATGAATGCTCTGAGCATGGAGTTCAGTTCCTCCTATTTCTGAGTTTTGACTTTGATTTTTGTACTGCCAGGTGTTTCTTCTTACCATTGTAACACACACAAAAAAACTATCACACAAACCTACTCCACAGACACACATTTTCAGGCACCCATACAAATAATCAAAAAGGTTGAAGGTCATAAACAAAGGTTAATGTTTTATGAGTGCAACTCTGATGCCAGAATGATTTAATAAAGTCAATGAAACAATTAGGATCGCTTCAGGAGACGTTTGGGAGAGCAAAGCTGCTCTGGCCCGTCTAGACAGCAAGGCCCTCAATACCATATCAGGTTTGGTTCATTATGTTCTTATGTTCTGAAAAAAATCAGGCTGTTGTCACATTACGTAAATAACGTCTAATAGCCTGGGAGATAAATCCACTTCACTCTTTTTTGTTTCCCACAACCTATTTTGAGGCCTAACCAATCCACAGCCAGTTCAGCAGTAAACATGAGAGGAACAGCTGCTGCCAGCTAAAGTCGTTTCCAGGTGTTGCCTCGGTGCAGAGAATTACATCATTGGATATTTTAATTTCTCGATTAAATTTTCTTCTTCTTTTCTCCTCTTTGATTCTTAAATGAATGCACCTCTTATGCTTCCAGGTAACTTTTTTTTTTCCCTTTGAAAACAATTCTTGCCATCTTCCCAGATGATATTTTGATAATTCATTCATTGCTGCATAAAGAGAGTCTCAAGGTTTACTGAAATTGTGTGTTAGATAAATCACTTAGTCGCTCTACGAAATCAGGACTTTTGTGACTTGTGATTACTGCTGGAATGAAAACAATTTTTTATGATGATGATCAAGCATAGAAACAGAATCCTTAGAAAAGGTATCAGGCAAAAATTAGACTTTACTCCACTAAATGGACTGAACTTATATAGCACTTCATCCAATCATTTTGGCCACTCAAAGCACTTTACACTAGAGTCACATTCATCCATTCAGGCTCACATTTATACACCAATATGCAGAACAGTTGGCAATTTGGGGTTAAGTGCCTTGCCCAAGGACATATTGACGTGTGGAAGGAGGAAGCTGGAATCAAACCTACAACCTTCTGATCACCAGATGACTATTCTACCCACACAGCCACAGTCAGCCACTACTAGGTGGAAGACTCCATTATGATACCAGAGATCTGCAACTTAAATACATAAAATATGCATGTAAAAAACATGTAAAAAGCAAGATGAATAATAATAATAANTTAGTGAAACAGAATTTATGTTAAAACGGCCTGCCATAGGAGGCAAGCGTCTTTGAATTTTTGAGTTCCTTGTCAAATAGCACCGTAAGTGAAACGGGTGTGATGGCGACAGAAATGGGGCGTCTATAGCTTGTTTGGGTCATGCACTCTTGTTTCTCTTCAAATCGTATAAATCTTTCGCCTTTTACTAAAGATTTCCGTGGAGAGGAACAACAAGAGTTTATCTCAATTTTTTGATACCCTACCTTTTGGTGGGGTGTTCTTTCAGTGTTCATGAAATACAACAGATACATCAATATAGCATTAAGTTCATGTGAAGATAAAGGAAGGTTTCTTTGCGTTTAAGCAAAGCATTGTCTCAATGGATTTCAGGACTCAACACATCCAGTTGATGTGCTTTCAGCGTCTTCTCATTCAACACTCACCTTTCGTACAACGACGTAGACCACCATGGGGACACGCCTCCCGCTGCGGTATACGTCACGCTGCTATCCGCGTGGTTTCCCCTTCTTTCAGGCCTCCTCTGTTTTGTTTTTACGTAACGGCCACGGAGCTGCCGCCACACGTTTATGCAGACAACCATCTCCGTGTACGGCGATGTTACAATTTACACCCAGGAATTAAACCCGTCGGATTTTTAGTTAAGTTATTTAGCGCTGCAACAAACTCCTAGCCAATCAGACAACACTTCGCACAGAGCTCTGTCGAAATAATTCGGCCCGGTTCCGCTGTACGAAGGACGCAATTTTCGTCAAGCCTCTACGTCGATGAGAACCAATTTCGGCACTTTGCATGAAGAATGTCGGTGCCTTTATTTTCGAACCATGTTTTTAACTCGTTATGCCCAGAGTTTACATAGTGTCAGTGAAGTTTTCAGAACGCTTAATAAACAACATCACAGTCTGCATTTGTGAGGCTGAAATGAGTTCTGATGTTGTGCAGTCAAATAGCACCGTCACCGAAGTGGGTATGATGTCGAAAGAAATGGGGCACCGACATTTGTAAGTTAGTCAGTCTTGTTTCTCTACAAATCGTATAAATCTTTCGCCTTTTACTAAAGATTTCCGTGGAGAGAAACAAGATTTTATCCAATTTTTTCATACTCTGCGATTTAGTGGAGTGCCCATTCTCTGTCCAATATTAAGATCTTTTCCCGAATGTAATAAATTACTCTCTGTTATCGGAGTTACAGTGAGTGTATCAATGCGGATGTGTATTATGTGCTAAGAGCCACGATAAATAAATCCAAAACTCACAACTGTTGATGTAACTTGTGTCTTTCTCGATTGTATCCCTTATCCAATGCCATAGTTGGCAAATGGTATAATTTATCAAAATGATCTCGCTGTACAAAAGTCGCTACAAAAGCGATGATGTTGTACATGAGCACAACAGCGCCACCTGGACATGAAGGAAGGAATGATCAGCATACTTAAGATCTTCATTTGAACATAAAAGCCCAACTTTGAAATGTTGCTTAACTTGAACTGATTTAAATTATAATGTGTTAATATAATTTTTTGCCTACCCCAATTTATCATAATACTGAGAAAAAATGTAAAATATATTTAGTCTATTTATCATCCTGGCCTGGAGTCTTTGCTTAACACGTTCTCCCTGTGCATTTTCTCTGGGTACTCCAGCTTTCTTTCACAGTCTAAAAACATGACCAAAGTAGATTGATGCGATTATAAGGCAGTGGCCACTGTAAGAAATGCTGTCTGTCCATCATCTTGCTTGTGACAATGAGGTTGTTGAAGACCCAGTATCTTGGGATTCTGAAGAAGGAGCTCGTCCAGGGAGACCACCCTGCAAGAACTGCCACTAAATGAACCACTGTTTTGACAAAAAAAAACAAAAAAAAAAACAAAACAAAAAAAACATTACTTTCATTTTATTGTAAATGTATGGTTATTTTATTGTGCACTGTAAAAGTTTACTGTACAGCTCTGACTGTAAGAGACAAACAACCAGGAATCTTCGGCTACACATTATTTTTCAGGTATAACTCTTTTGTGACAAAGAAATGTCAGCATATACTATCCAGACAACTTAGGCTCAGAATCCTAAAGGTGGACTTAAGTCATCTTGACTAAGTTTCAATAAATATTAATTACAAATATTAATTACAACTTATATTGTGAATTAAATTGAGGAAAAACAACGATATCTTCAAGAAGAAAGAAAAGAAGACCGAAAGTTCTGCACAAGTATTACAAGTTTTTCTCTCTCTGGTCTCAGAAGGGACATCAGCATTTATCTTGAGTGAAGATCTACTGCTGCTGCTTCTTTTTCTTCTTTTTTTGGCAGTATGTGGCAATTAGCCAATAACCAGTTTCCTCTTACAAGGAGAATGTGAAGTAGTCCGGTGTGGTCAGAGACGAGTTAAATACTTGTAGAACAGGCAGCGATTAGTCCTCAACTGCTCTCTCAGGGTGAGTCAATGTTACTCAGTTGTTGGTTCTTTTTTCTTTTTTTCTGTGTTCAAATTTTTCCTTTAAATAATGTTACATTTAAACTGTGTGGAATTGTTGCTTCTTTCTACTCTTAAAATTAGCTCTCATTCATAGAGACTCGCTGCTTAAGACATTTCCCTGTAGTTGTTTGCAAGGAAAAATTATTGGATCTGTAACTAACCTAAATTTGATAAAAGTAGATCATCGTTGGAAAAGATCTCTGTGACTTTTTCATATATTAACTATACTAACATGCAATTTTGGCCAAATTATACAGCATTTAATACAGTGTTTCTGTGGAAAGAAGAAGGAAGAATTCAGTATACTGAGCTGCTTTAAGTGTTCTTTACATGTTTCTTGGTGGGGACGTGTCAGAAAGCTACCACTTCCCTATTAGCTGCAGGGTGTTAGCGCTGTAACAAACTGGAATGCATTCTCGTGAATTATGCTCAATAAAAGCGATTGCATTTATGTCTTTTGTACAAAGATCATGCCTGTACATGTGACGTGACTTGAAATCTGACGGTTTTTCCATTTCTTCTTTTACCTGGGTTTAAACGCACCTTTTCAGAGTGGTGCAGGTCACTCCACCCATCAAATAGATCATTAAACAACTTTCCTTTTTTTTCCCCACACCATGTCCATTTGGTTTCAGCCAAAGATGACACTGTGCTACAGCAGAAGATTTGAAATTATATGAAGAAAATTACAGCTTTTATGGCCGAATCAGCTACTCTCTGTCTTTAGGGTCCTGCTGTAATTACACTATACTGAGCTGTGTGTTATATTTATGGCATTAAATATATTTAGCCACACAAAAAACCTCTCCGTATGCAGTTCTATCTGTACATCTCAGCTGCGTTCAGGAATAAATTCTGATCAAAGCCTGTTTTTGCATCTGTAAATCTAGAACAATATGAAATTTTAATTTTGTTATTCCTGAAAAAGCAATCTAGTACAATTGAAAGACAATTTTTTATATATATTCCCTTTAACAGACATTCTATGCATGACACACAGATTAAGTAAGTGACGTACCAGCGTTGACCTTCTATGATTTTACACATTAGTTCATGTTGCTCGATCTCCAGCTAAGCGAAGCTGCCGTGAAATTTTTTGGGCTCATTTGCCACTTTGTCTAATCTATATTCAAATGTTCCAGCCAGGACAAAACAGTGTTATTGCTTAATGTCATGTTATGCTGCTTTGTGACCAAATGTATATCTACAAGTTTGCTTATGCTTCAAGGATTTTTTTTTTCCTTTTCTTTTTCCTTAACCAATATATGTATTGTTAATATTGGGGTTTAATGGGATAAACATTAAAAAAATATTAATGAATATTTATTATATATGGTTATTGGTGAATTTGGAAGGTAATGGCCTTCATAAAATTGAGAAAATTTACATTGACACACAGTTCTCTATGGCATTCTTTAAATGAACACAGGTGATTTATTTACAAACCACTTTACACAAATATAAAAAAAAAAATACATCAATGTTGTGCAGCTAGTTGCTATCGCACCTACAAAAGTAACAGCCGCACCTCTAGATGACACACACACTTACATAATACATCTGTGTCAGGAACTGAAATTTTAATCTGCGTCAATACATTGAAAAGAGTTTAAATTCCTTCCAGCTATTGAAGTTTGTGAGAGAAACAGAGCATGAAGGTTAAAATAAGAAGCATAGACATTAAGAAGATAGAAAATGTAATTTTCTTCTCCTGTCTCCAACAGATAAAGGTCTTAAAAGCTGCCAGCTGATTAAATGATTACATTTCTAAAGCTGCTGTCCAAAGAATAGAAAACTGATTAGAATTAAATGTCTACCTTATGCAACTACTTGTTGCATAAGGTAGACTTGTGTTATTTTTGCTTCACTGGAAAATTGAGAAACTGTACATCCAAGCCTTGTGTAACATTTTAACAATCAGTTTCAGAGCTCAGACTGACTTGAACCCTGATCGTCACAGGTCTAAAGCGCTAACGTCCTCAGGGAGAGGAAACCAGTGGGATGTTGAGCCGCAGAACCTCCCAAATTCACACTACGGCGAAAAAGTCTCGTTGCTGGATGGAGACGTTCAGAAAAGCAAACATGACGATGCTGAGGAAGCAGGGAGGATCCATGTGGTTCCGATCCACGGGCGTCCGGACCTGCTGGTACCCTGCGCGGACCTGGTCAACTCCGAGTGGCGGAGGAGCCAGGCAGCCCGGGTCCATTCCCTCCAGAAGTCCTGCTCGGAGTTCCCCGTCTGCCTGGTTCTCCTTCAGGGCCCCAGAGGGACAGAGGAGAGGCTCCTCGGCCACGCCCGGCTCACCCGGGTCGTAGGTCATGGCAGCAGCCTGTTTGTAGAGTCAGTGGTGGTGTCCAAACAGGAGCGGGGGAAGGGCTATGGTCGGGTTCTAATGGAGGAGACGGAGCTGTATGCTAAGCGCAGAGGCTTCAAGCGTCTGTGCCTGACCACCCATGATAAGCAGCACTTCTACGCCCATCTCGGCTACGTCCTGTCCACGCCGGTGCAGAGCAAGGGTGCTGTGATGGCGCTCCTCCCTACGGGGATGCTCATGAGACTTTCCAGAGCTCCAAACGCAGAAGCAAACCCATCGAAACAAACGCCAACAAGAATGGAAGACGTAGAATGTACTTGTGTTGATGGGTTACCTTCACCTTCTAATTTACAAAATCCTCTTAGTCTCTCTCCACCACCTCGTCCTCTTTCCTCCATACCTCCACCACCTCCTCCACCACCTTGTCCTCTTCCTTCCGTACCTCCACCACCTCCTCCTACTTCTCTTTCCTCTTCAGTGCCTCCTCCTTCTCCTCCACCGCCCCAGTTTTCAGGAGACCCTGTAATTCAGACTTTGACAGAAACCCCCTACAGAGACGCCAGAGGAGTTCCCATCTTTTGGATGCACAAGGACATTTGATGAACAGTTGGACATGTCTGGGAGTGCACGTATACACTCCCAGACACTTCATAAATAAAACACACTGAGACACACTCAGGGAAAACTGTCTTTAACCTCAGAGACGGCATTAGGAAATCAAACAATCAAAGATCAATGCACTTCTTGCACAAGCTAACCTTCAACGTCCGGAACCAGTTGCAGAAGAACCATAAAGACGGACAAAACACCAATAAAGAGACAAAATCTTGTCAGATGGAGCAGGAGGGTAGAAACAAAGCCCTCCACATCTAATAGCATTTCTGGAAGAATTACGTTAAAGACCCTTTGCTTAAATTAATTGTTTTGTCACTATATCATGATTTCAAACTGATTTGTGCAAAAAAAAAAAAATCCAACCTTTGGGAAACTTAATAAACCATTTTTGAAGAAATAAATGTGTAATCTCTAATGATACCAATGCTGTCAACATTTTATGCAGTGTCCTTTTTGTGAAGAAAACAGATCCAAACATTGGAAGATGTAGATCTTTCTCTATTCTTTGTCCACTTTGTCCTTGGCTTCTCTCTGAAGCTCTCGTCCCTTCAGCTCGTTCCGCAGGTTTTCTATGGGTTTAGTCCAGGAGTTTGAGGTGGAAGAAGCTTGATTTGGTGTCTGCTAATCTAATCACGTCGTGTTTTTGTATTGCTATCCGACTGAAAGAACCAAAGGCTGTCTTATAGATAGTTTTCTGGAAGAGAGCACTGGATTTATAAATAAACGGTTCTGAGAAGTGATGGACATTAACAAGATTCCAGAACCTTTGGATCCTTTAACTTACTTCACGGTAGTTATGCTGTGTTTTACAACACATTCATTCTGTGTTTCTTTCAGTTGCCAAAAATCTCAACTCTAGTTTCTTCTCACCAAAGCACAGAGCTGGTTTTCCTTCCAGACAGCTTGTTGTCATGTAAACGGCATCTGACTGTTGTTATGGATACCGTTATGTAGCTTTGGGTGCGTTCACACTGCACCCTGAAGTGACCTAATTCTGATTTTTTTTTTTTTTTTGACGTAATGCGACCTGTATCCGATCTTTTCATGGTAGTGTGAACAGCACAAGTCGGATTTTTTTTCGAATGTGACCCATATCCGATACGTATCCGATTCAAATGCGACCTAACGGCCAGGTCGCATTCATCCGAACTGAACGTCACTCAACAAATCTCACTATTCTGTGTCCTGATATGCGCAAGCGGGAAGAAAAACAACCATGACGGATTATATGAGGATTAAGTTGTTAATATGCTGCTCCGGTTGGACAACAACTCAAATATGTAAGTTAAGCTCCACCGTTAGCCTCCATGTTTACTTCCGCAAACACTGAGCACTTCTTCTTTTTATGGCAGTTGGCAGAACACTTAGAACTCTAACGCTATTGCGCCCTCTACTGCGCATGCGGGACACTTTCAGGTCGTTTGCCTGTTCACACTGCAGAACGCATACAGGTCGCATTTACTGGCAGTGTGAACGGCCCCGGCAAAAGATCGGAATTGCCAAAAAATCGGAATTGGGTCACTTCAGGCTGCAGTGTGAATGCACCCTAAGTTGCTTCCCAACCGCCATTAAACAAAAAGAAGAAGAAGAAGAAGAAGAAGA